ACCAGTGTCCAGTAAATCTCGTCGGGTTCTCATTATTTTACCATAATAAGGATCCCTTCTTAACGCGCGGATCCATACCAATTTTTTCAACAGTACGTTTCTCAGTTCATTTTGAAATGCAGGGATCATTTTGTTGTACGCAAGCACTTCAGCCGCTGCTTTCGTTTCGCCTTTTTCCATGTACTGGTTTTCCAGAGTTTCTAATTCAATCTCGTGTCGGTCCATGGTTTCTTTGATCAACACTGACGAGCAATCTTCTTAAGGCTCAACATCGTCATCATCAGCACCATCATATGACTCTGATTCACTCGTGTCTACTTCGCTGTCTTCTTCAACTTCTTCGCTTGACGTCTCTTCATCATATGTTGATTCATTTTCCTCTATATCGTTCATTTTGCAAATATGATTGTCCAAGCGACGTCTTAGATTGAACCCTGTGGAGAATGTCTTGCTACTGGATCTAATACCAAATGATTTTCCTTTCAAAGTTCGCCGCAATTTAAGTCCTCCCAGAACTACTCTCAACCTGCTCCTTAGCTGTTCCTCATGTGTTCCCTGCTGCTCCTTATGATCTCAGGCTGCCCCTTCACATTGAATACCCCTAAGGACTCATGAAAAGAATCTCTTCTTGCAGTGTACCTTGAAGCATTTTTCCCCTTTCTTTCTTGTTTTGGATAATCTAAACCAACAACCTTCTGATCTGGAGTCAGGTGTCAATCAGTCAATTCTTAGAAAAAAAACGTCACTGTTGCCCATGGCCTTWTTGCCCTTTTCTGCGAGATTGGCCTGGTTTTGGCCTTTTTGGCCTGGGTATGGCCTTTTTGGCCTGGCTGAAGGCCATATATAAACCAAAATTGGGAAGGAAAAAATCATTTTAGTTAACTCTTCCTGAACTGTAAACATGGTTAAACGAGTTGAGACTGCCCGATTGCAGGATGTGGTGCAAAATATCTCGTGAGATTAGCGAACCATCTGTCGGATGTTCATTTGCTGGATAGCGATCATCGGAGAAAGTATCTACAAGAGGCTAAACTGCAACCGCAAGTAAAATTCGTTTTGAATCCAGTTAGTGCCAAAACTGATGATAACAATGACAAAAACTTGACGCATGTACAAGGCAGAGAGTATGAATATTCACAACCAAGACAACACAGGGTGCAGAGACTAACAGAGACTAAAGTAAGACATGGTGCAACCTCTTTCAAAACAAAAACCAAAGACAAAAAGAAGCGAAGTCATGGGAAATCAAAAGGATGGTTAACGATGAATTAGGACGAGAGAACAAACTAATAATTTGTGTCAAAAAGGCTGGTTGTTTGTTCAGTTGAATTCATTAGTAAATACGCATGACACATCACAGTCATAACAAAAAAATAAAATAAAATAAAGCCAAAAAAGCCATGGTTTGTGTAATGTGTACGAGATTAGCTTGGTATTCTATGGAGTACAAGAAGGTGTCGTCACTTTCACC